CCGCATCTCCGGTAATAGCGATTAGTCTTCTACGAGATCCGATAGCAAATGATGACTGATAACGGTTATCGCGCGTACACGCGCGCACGAGGTAATAACCGGGGTCCCCGGCGAAAATCCGCGGCGATGTTTGTGCGACTCAAACAGCACTCGCTCGTGTACACGCATTCCCTCCCCCCCCGGCATCCGTGTAATCGCGGATTTTTGCGGCGAAATGAGGTCTCCGCCTTTCTATACGCGGCGTCTAAATTTCGACGAGGTTATTCGCGGCAACGCCGTTTCGCCTTGACGTTATTAAAGGATATCTCGGCGTCTCGTCTCTCCCGGTTTTGTCAAATTTTAAAGATAGAAAATTACGCACGGCAATCGTATTTGCTGGCGGTGCCGGGACGGACGGCCACTTTAATTTGGAATATCAATATTGAACTTGGATTAATCGCCGGAAAGGGATCAGAAACCAGGTTTGGCAGAAATACACGGGCGATATTATCTAAATCGGGTGAAGAAAGGGAACGAAAAGTTTATCGCGGCGCGAGCGGAAGGAATCAAATTAAATTGCGACAGCGCGATACCGTGAATTAATCCGCGTTCCGTGCTGTGCGAAAAAGAAAGGTCTAAATTCTCGCTGGATTCCGAGATAGGCGAGATAAGTAACGGTTGCGCAAGAGAGCGACGTAGGAATGCGAATTAACAGTACGCACTACCGTTTTACGCGACGGAAAAAAGTCGACGCGTGTCGCGGATCGAGAGGAACGAAGATAGCGAATTATCTCAAGATACTCGAGACTGGTATTGACGGAGCGATTGATATCTCGAAGGTACAAGCGCTCTCCAAGCGCTGTCGAAGGAACATTGAAAAAAATAGGGAATGCTCGATTTCCACGAATCGGGTTAGCAAAAGACAAAACTCTCCCTCTCGGTAAATGTCATACGTTCGGATGTAGGTCACTTGTCCCTTTGAATCGGAAAATAGGCACGAGCTGTTCTTAATTTGGAAGCGTTAAATCTGGACACCAAATCCGTCGGTTGCAATTAAGATTTTGCACAACACTGCCAAGAAACGCGGAGAAATGCTTTTACAAATTGCACGTACAATCTCCTGAGAAACAAATAATTTCGAACGATCAATGTAATCAGAACAAATCCGTTTAGACCAACTAAAATTCGAACAGTGGAAGACGTCAAGCGTACCAGCAAAACAATTATCGCGAATTCGTGTAATTGGGGCTAACAAATTCACGTGATATCACGCGGGATTGAAGAACTGAAAATACACACGGATCTCCGAGCTGAATAGAAAAAGAAACAAACAAAAAGAGAGAACGTGCGAGAAGCCTGTTACCGAGGCTAATAATTTATATCCTTTTATCGCAGCCGTTACGCCGCTCGAATAACAACTGCAGAAGTAGCCAGCAGTTATTTCGTAGAACTATTATATCAATGCAATCTTGTCTCAACTGGCTTAGCTCTGTTATGCTTAGTGCTTCAATTATTCCTTCGACATACGCGCGCATGTGTATTACGCACACACATGTATGCGCGAGCGCATACCGCATCAGCCAACATCTCGTTATCCCAAAATCTCGCGACGAAGGCGCGCCAAGTGCTTTGCCTATTTCGCCACGAGTCGCACCAGCCGCAAACCTCCTTCCCTCCCTCATTCCAATTTCTCTGTAACGTGTCTGCACCGCGGACTTCTATCGTATACTACTAGACTGCTGCCTTCCAACTGAAAAGCGAGGCAAGAGTTTTCCGCCACGTCTTGTTAGGTAAATAAAGTAGTAAAGTCCCCTATTACGAGACAAGCTCCTAATATGAGACTGCTAGCTCGTATTATCATCTGTCGGCTCGTCATGAATTTATTGCCCTTGAGGTGAAGTGTGTTCGGTGAGAAATTCATTGTTGGATCGTGTAAACGTAGAGAGGAAAGATGTTCGATTAAGTTTGGATGTTGAAAGCCTACTATCTCATATTAGAAGTCTACCTCACAACAGGGGACTAGCATCAATGACACACGTACTACTTGATTTACCAAACAAGACATGGCGGAACTGTCGCCTCACTTTTCAGCCGGAAGACAGCAGTCCAGCAGTGTATACAAGTCCGTGGTCTATTCGCGTGTAAAGGAAGAAAGATCGTTCCGCGCGCACAAGCGGAGGCAGATGACGGATGCCCCTTCCTCTCTGATCTATCGTCACTCGCGAAATTACACTCGCAAGCGCGACGAACGCGCCGTCCGTCTTTCTGCATTCCGCGCCGCTATTAACCGGAGATCGCGGAAGATTCACGACGTGTCCCGTCGCGTCGATCAGCTGATCGGTCTCGCGCGGCCGAATGGGGTCCCCGGCGAAACCCCGGTCACGTTTAACGCGCGCCAGGACGCCGGCGACGCGGTTATTCATCCAACTCAGTACGCAACGCGAGTCCTCGAAGACGTACTTGGGAACAATCGGATAGCGCATTCATAACGCATTGTACACGGCACTCGTATTGTTATTGATATGAATTTTATGTACGCGGAGAGAAGTTTCTCCTCGAGTTTATCCGGAAAATCGTGTGATCGTGGAACAGCGCGGCGTTTCGAGGAGTCTTACGAGTTTTTTTTTTTACACTTTACCGTACGTCTTTACCGGCAAAATGTATGGCAAAATTTCAGAAAACTCTCATTGGGTCCCACAAAATGCCACGTTGTCCCGCGATTGCGTGATTTTCAGGGTAAATCTTGAGAGAAAATTCTCTCCGTGTACATTATTATATAGTCTCTAAAAGTCAACCGGTGGATTATCACTGGAAAAGCAGTGACTTGATTCACTGACTTGAATTGTTCAGTGCTACACTCGTAACCGTCCTCAGTGATGATGCACCGATTGGCTTTCAGAGAGCGATTGTTATTCTTGTTAAATTCATACTTTCATTTCAGTGTAACGTAGGTTCGACACGCCGTGCCGATCGCGCCAGAATTCGGCGGCGCGTTCGCTCGGCCGAAACGGGGGAGGAGGAGGAAAGGGGGGCGGGGGGGCGGGGGCGGCTTTCAAAACCCGCGTCGGCATAGGCGCGCCAAGTTCACACCCGACTCATCGCGAATGCTAAAAGGATATAAAAAGTTTCGTAACGTCAACTTACGTGCCGCATTTCCTCCGCATTGTCCGCGCGCGTGTTAGAGCCCATCGCCGCCGAATCGATACCCGGCCAGCCGCGTCGCGCTTCTGGCGTGTGCCCAATCCAATTCCGAACGGCCGTTTTACTCATTAACGAAACTTCGTTCTGCCGACGGACGTTGACGTCAAACGCGCGAGTCCCCGAGAGGCCTCGGTCGTCCCGGAAGAGAGAGAGCGAGACACGCCGATTGCTCGCGCGCGGCTAACGCGAGTCTCCGATCGCCCCGGCGTGTCCGCCATTGGCTTCCGATTGAGCGATCCTTTGCGTCGATGCGCCTCGTTATCGCGACGCTCGTCAATTTCGCTCCCGGTTTAGCGCACGGAGAGAATTTTCTCGTAAAATTTGTCCGAAAATCAACGTGGTCGGAGGATGTTTCTACGAGTTTTTCAAATTACACCATACGTTTTGCTAATAAAATTCCCCGAGACGTTGCCCCACGTGATTTTGCGGGTGAACTTGAAAAGAAAATTCACTCCGTGCACACCTTGCCATGACCTAGAATACCCGATAGTCCCGCGATCTACCGCGTTCTCGCCGTCGAGATCGTTAAAGTCTCAGGGTCCTGCCTTCCCTTTCGTTTTCACGCGCTGCAACGAGCCCCGGAGCATTCCCAGACACATCTACATTAAGGCCGGCTCTACATCGCGTCGTAGCATCGCAAATGATAAGTTGGACTAATCAGGATTGAATCAGGATCAGCCTACGACCCTTGGCGACACTACGGTAAGACCAATGTAGAACCGGCGTCCACAACTTGCGTTGAAGCTCGGTTTTACGAGGCGACCGTCAGCAGCTTAAACTCGCGTATTCGCGGGGCTTTAATAGCCCTCGTTCCTCCTAATATTGGTGTTGTAATAAAGATATCCTTATGCCCGCGGTATAACGGCAATATACAGTAGTAGATACCGTGCCCTTGGTTTGTACACGACTCGAGATGGCGCGGGTTATCTCTGCACACGGTACCGTCTCGCGCTCGGTCTACGTTGGGAAATTAGACGCTCGGATCTTCCGGTGTTACAATGCAGATAACAAGAGATACGCGGAGGATTAAAACCGCTCGCCGCGCAACGTGCGGACGCCAGCGGGTTCTCGACGATGACGCGAACGTGCACGGTGATATCAGTCTCGCGCGAGTCTCACCGCGCGTAAAGGAGCCACGTGTCTCCCCCCCAATTGGCCCGTAATCGGCGCGATTGATAGAAAACTGTGTCTCATATATAAACATTATTTCAGATTATCGTATTAATATGTACGTGTCTGTCTCGTGTACGTGTGTATGCGCTTGTGTATGCGTGTTACGGACGTGTACGTGTATGTACGTGAAGACTAGTTGTACAAATATGGATCATACTCACGAGTACGCGCATCGTACTTTCTCTCTCTCTCTCTCTCTCTCTCATACACAATCTCTCACAACGAATAAAGAAGATAGAGACAAGTAGATAACGAACGATGCACGATACGACCCTCTTCGCAGTGCGGTACCTCCTCGATTCGAGTGTCGTGTGTGTAACGCGAGAGAAAACCGAGGGGGGGGGGGCTGGTGAGAGCGAGCATGGGGGATGCTTACCGAAGAGTCGGAGAAGACGCCGCGGGGCGAGGAGGACGGGGGGGAACGGGCGGGGCAACGGAGGAGATAGGAAACGTTGTTCGCAAAGACAACGAGAGACTATATGTACAAGGTAACTTCGGTACGGTGACATTTCCGACGCTGATAACAGTTAATCATTGGGAACAAACTTTACACACGGCCTCCTCCGTAAACCGGATCATAAAGCTATCTTCAGTGGGCGGCGGGGGGCGCGATGGGGGGGGGGGGTAGAGAGAGGGGGAGGGGAATGTGAGTGGCGAACATATGCGTATATCTAAATAGTGTAGTCCTTATTACGTTAATGGATCGATTATCCGACTAAAAAAAATGAGATTTCTTCATGTAAAAAGTGGATGCTGGCGCGTGTGCGACGTCTACTACATACGTGACAACGAAAAGTTATGCGTGTATATAATTCTCGGACGCTCGACCGCCAGCGTGTAAACGTCCCGGTGTTATCCAACCGGTGTGCTTCGCGTTTCTCTCCTTCCTGCTCTCTCTCTCTCTCTCTTTCTCGAGCGGCGCAACGAAACGAGAAGCGAGCGAATTGCTCCACGTGCTCCTACGCGTACTTCTCTCCCCCCTCCCTATCTGGAGTGATACACCCTTCCCTTCGGTATCGCCCGCGAGAAATCTCGAGGCAAAAAAGAAAAGACTCTACTCCGACTCGCGCCTAGCTTTCGAGAGCTGTCGTTACACGCGGATACGCGCTGACACACACAGATGCACCCTTCTCTCTTTCACTCTTTCTCTCGTCCGCTCTTTTACTCTCTCTCTCGCTCTGTTTCGCAAAAAAAGCGAATCACCAACGTGACGACGGCGATGACGAAGGAGCGCCGTACCGCGTTGGCTCGACGCGAGCTTGCGCGACGTCGCGACGCGCGGCGTCCACCTCTTGGTTGCGAGCAATCTGCCGAGCCGGCGCAGCGTTCAAAACTCGGCGAACTCCTTGGCGCACTTCTCCGTCAGCGAGATCCTCAGGGTCTCCTCCTCGTAATCGTCGAAATTGCTGGTGTCGCCTGGTCCCTTGCAGCGCGGTATGAACGGCGCCTCTATTCGCTTCTGGAAGACGGCTATCCAGTCGGTGCTGGCGAACCACTTGTGGCCCTTGATGTCGTTGACGCCCGCCTTGAGGTTGCCGTACCTCTTAGTGAGGTCGACCTGCAGGAGATTGCGCAGCAGATCCTTGAGGTCGGAACCGAAGTGCGAGGGGAAGCGGGGCTTGCCGCTGACGATCTTCTCGTAGATCTGGATCGGCTGGTCGGCGAAGAAGGGCGGATAGCCGGCGGCCATCTCGTAGACGAGCACGCCGAGCGCCCACCAGTCGACCGCCTTGTTGTAGCCCTTGCTGAGGATGATCTCGGGCGCGAGGTACTCGGGCGTGCCGCACAGGGTCCACGTCCGTCCCTGCACCCTCTTGGCGAAGCCAAAGTCGGTGACCTTGAGGTAGCCCTGCGAGTCGATGAGCAGGTTCTCCGGCTTGAGGTCCCGGTAGATGAGGTCGAGGTAGTGCAGGTACTCGAACGCGAGGACGATCTGGGCGGCGTAGAAGCGCGAGTGCGGCTCCGAGAAGCGGCCGACCTTGCGCAGGTGGCTGAACATCTCGCCGCCGGGCACGTACTCCAGCACCATGTACAGGTAAGAGTTGTCCTTGAAGTGAAAGCGCAACGACACGAGGAACGGGAAGCTGATGGCCTGCAGTATCCTCTTCTCGTTGAGCGTGTGCTCGACCTGCTTCAGCTTGACGACCTTCTGCTTGTCGAGTATCTTCATGGCGTAGTACTCCTTGGTGGGCTTGTGCTGGACGATCATGACGCGGCCGAACGAGCCGGTGCCGAGGGTCTTGATGCGCTCGAAGTCGTCCAGCCCGGCGGTGTTGGTCGGGTTCTTCTTCCACTTGTCCTCGAACTCCTTCTTCGCCTTGTCGAGGAACTCCTTGACGCTCTCGGCAGCGTCGACCTTCTTGTTGGCGGTCGCGGCATTGTTGCCCATCTTAGCTGCCGAGCTGGTGCCCGAGTCTGCCAGGGCAGCTCCACGGGACTTGAGGTAATCCAGAGGACTGCTACGTCTTCGTCGGCGTACGTCCGCGTCCGCAGCCGCCGATGAGCCTGCCAGGGCTCCGCCGAGCTCCGGTCTCTTCAGAATTTTTGCCACCTTCTAAACACGCGCTGCCCAGACGTCTCTCCCTCTCCCCCCCTCTTTCTCTCTCTCTCTCTTTCTGTCTTTCCGCGGCGTCTCGCGCGCAGCGAAACGCCAAGTACACCGACAATCACGACGGCGGCGACGCCGAGATTCTCCCCCGTCTCCTCGTTATCGCCCACGTTATCCCGAAGGTGCGAAGGGACGAACGCGACGACACGTCCTCGCGCGCGGCGGGGCTGGGGGAGGGCGCCCCGGTCCTCGGAAAGGTGGGCCGAGATCGCGCGACACCCCGGGGAAGAGAGACACGTACACTCGCGCGAGTATTAATCACACGGTAGAAAAACAGGCCACACACAACACACACATGCAGGGGGGTACGGAGTCGCGCGCGAGCGCGAGCGCGGGCGCGAGCGCGACGCGAGAGCGGCACCCTCCGGACTCCGCTCGTCCTCTCGCGCTGTCCCTCGCTCACTCTCTCTCTCTCGCTCCCCTCTACGGCTTCCTGCCCCGCTGTCGCGGAGTATATTCCTCCCGGCGAACGTCACCACGCTCCGCGAACGGCGCCCGCCCGCATCAAACGAGAGCGAGTGAGAGCCGGCGAGAGGGGGGGAGGGGGCGAGGGAGAGACTCCTCCTCCTCCTCCGTCGTCGTCCCTCGGCGAGGGACTCCCGGCTCCCGTAGGTTCGGCGCGTCGGAAAAAAATGGGTCAGCAGCGATCCTCGTCCACGGTACGCGCCATCTTCTCTGTCAATTGTACCAGTCCGTCGTCGTTGTTGGGCGACGGCGGCGGGGCGGGATGCCGTTTCTCTCTCCTCCCTCTCCCTTGGTCGCGCGCGCGAGAGTCTGCACGGTCCCCGTCGGGGCCCTCGGGGCGCGCTCTCTCTCTCTTGAGAGAGAGAGGGTCCGTCTAGGTTTCGGGCGCCGCGATCAAGCGACTCGCCCTCCTGCTGTCTCCGTGTCCCGTGGTCGACGCGAGCGAGCAGTCCACACACGGCACCGAGTTTCACTGACGGAGCTCGCACTCGACGACTTACGTGTACGCGGCGTGCGGCGACGTCCTGGCCGACCGGACCTCGCTCGGCTCCGGCCCCGGGTCTCCTCCGCTCGTCTACTCACGTCCGCCGCGGTTGTGCGCCCTTCCTCGCGACGGTGAACGGGGAGGACGGTCGTGCGAGGCGGCCGACTCGTCTCCTTCTCGCGCCCCGGCACGTAATGTAAATCGAGCGCGGCGGCGACGGCGGCGACGGCGGCGGCAGCGGCGGGGCGGCACAGTCGATATCGGTGCGAAGATCCGCTTCGCGCTTCCCGGCGTCGCGTCCGCGTCGCGTCGCGTCGCGTCGCGTCCGCGGAGGCCGCGCGCGCTCGGCGCTGCTCCAAGCTAGCGTGCACGTACGACGATCGTCGGTGTCGTCGGCGCACGACGGCGACGGCGATCACGTCGACCAAGAGCAGACGGCGGCCGATGGGTACGACCGTGCCTAAAGATGGCGACGCGACTCCTCCACCGCGCTCTCGTACGTTCGGGGGGGTTTTTCGCACGAGTGCGAAAGTGACGAAGTGCCGCTCCAGGAGGCGAGAGAGCTACTGCTCGCTCGCCGCGGCCCAGCTGCTGCTTCCGCGCGCCGCC